TTTTTTGTCGTGTAACTGCTGCCCCCTCACTTGTCTTCTGGCCATCAAGGAGTCTTCAAGCCATGCGTTAGCCTCTGACTCGTAAACGAGTGCCTCTTGACGGAGGGGTGCCGGCTCTGCTCTCCGCCCACGCGTGCCGCTCCCACTCGCGTCCGTGAGGCTTGCCGAAAACGCGCTGTATCGGGCCTCCTTCGCTAAGAGCATCCTTGTGAACGTGCTTGCGAGGGACCGTTTCCCGCGGAGGATGTTCTGTTTGCTTCTCTGTCTATTGTACTTATATTTCCCCTTCCGTTTTGTTGTCACTGAGAAAATACGCACAGACCAAAGGGCAGAAATGAGGTGAAATGGGAGGAGGCAGCTGTACCGCCTGCTGCCAGGAACTGCAGCTTTTGATGAGAGAAAACTGAAGGCATGTAATGCAGATAAAGCTGCTCACTCTACTAGGTACAGCTTACGTTACTCAGACTTCAGCACACCTAAATAAAAAATGCTGGGAAGGCCTGCGCGGGGTCAGGCGCCTCCCTGCGGATCTCCAAAAGGGATTCTGGGAGCAATTTGTTTCCAGGATCGTTGCAGGGACGGCACCGACGTTGCCCAGAAAATGTCAGCGTTACCAGAGGAAAAGGAGAGAAGAGCACGGCACCGCAGCTCGGCGGGAACTCCTGGGGTTGCCCTCGTGACAAACCACCAGACCATGAAAGGTGTCTACTGCAAGTGAATTTAAAGATAAATAATCGTAAAAGAGGGAAAAGGCATGAGAATTTATAAAAAAAAAGCTTTCAGTCTTCTGTAACCTGCGCTGTGCTGATGGACTAGTCTAGAGGTAAAACTGAACTGTGCTGTTTTTCAAAGTATTACCAATGAGGTGTCATGAAACAGCAAGCCTTGGCGTTTCTAAAATGGTTTCCCACTGATCAGGGTAAGAAACAACTCCTGCTCCCTTGCATTCTGGGAATGAAACGATATAGGTGAGGAGGAGCTTAGGCAGAATTTAACCATTTATGCCAAATCATACCTGATCTTCTATAGCTAGCTGCTTCCCCCACTACCTTCTTCATAAAAAAACCCCAGTGCTTCATGTGGTGAGTTTGTTCTAGAGAGATGAAGCCTTGCTGTCTCCCATCTCTTGCAGAGGTTTTCCAGACTTTGAGGGCCTTTCAAGTTTATTTTCTTTGAACAGAACCTCTCAATAAACTGTAGTCTTTCAGCCTCTGAGGTCAGAGTGATCTCTTTCATGTCACCCTTGGGCGTGTTTTGAGGTCTTGAAGTTAGGGATGCTGATGGAGGGTCATCCTGTGTCTTCCTTGTCAGAAAAATGCTGATGGGAAAATGCTGGATCTTTAGTTGGTTTGGCCATTGCCTGGGCCCTAAGCAGAGAGACAAAATCCCCACGATAGTGGGGGCGTGAAGTGTTCAGCTTAAGTAATGATTATTTGGTGCTGACCTGGAGTAACTTTTCCACTTCTCGTGCATCAGCATGTGGGGATGGAATTGGAAATATGTCAACTCCTCTTATTTTACTTCTATAGAGAAGCGATGTTTTTATTTAAATCTCTTCACTGTCCTACATACCACTGACTATAGGTTTTAACTGGGCATCTCTGCCTTTGTATAAGAATGGATGAAGTTAGTTTGGACCACTTTGGTTGAGATGCCCAGCAAGCATGACCTGCCGTTTCACTTCTAAACCAAAGCTCTCATATGTAGGGTGCCACAGGCATTGCTCTCTCTCACTTCTCTTCTTCCCCTCGCTTCAGTTGCCTAAGAAGCATGTGGGGTGCCTGCAGGTGGGAACCTCTCTGGATTCGCACCTCTCAGCTCAAGACATCTCTTGTAAATAGTAAAGTTTGAAGGTAGTTGCCTGGGTTCAGAGGAAAGACATGGTTCTTTGAGAGAAGAAGTCTGGTTTATTTTAGCTAATGACTCCCCACTGACTTGAAAAGGAGCTTAAGACACTCCCTTGGAAGGTATGAGTCTTAAATTGAGTGTCTTTATGAAGCCAAAGGATTACAGGTCAGCCGCGGCTTAATTAAGATGAGACTGAAGTCATGCTGAAGAGTTCAGGAAGCAAGAAGGTAGAGGGAGACACCTACATACCTGGCTTTTGAGTTGCTTGGGCTGTAAATGACAACCCAATGGTGGGTGGAATGTTTTGGGTTTAGATGCAACACTCTGTTCAGTAAATCGTATAGCAGAAGTTTTCAGGAAAACCTTTGTTTTCATGTGGCTGGAAGAGTACAACTTGTTCTTTCCAGTCAAGGCTCATTGCAAGGTTAGGTGTACTGGGAATGAGGACTCTAGCTATGGGATTTAACCTGCAGAGCTTGCAGCAAAAGTCATACAGTTTCTTCAGGGTTTCAGTCCGAAGCGTCAAGGACATGTGTTAGCTTGAGTGCAACAAAATATTTTGTTTTTCTTGAAACCAGCTAATCAATTTCCTGAAAGTTCCCTAATTGTCCTATTAAGGAATGTGTGCATGCAAGCCTTTGGCAGCTGAAAGAAAGAGACTGATTTGCGCAATCACAATAGAAACAGCTGCCTGTGCTCTGCCTGCTGCCATGTATTCTGTTTGTAGTGCATGAACATGTAGTGCAAGGTGAGCCTCAGAGTTCATTCAACTGTTTGTACTACCAGGCATGCTCTGCGCGTACCGTATAGCCGCTGTGGGACATAGGTCTGCACTTCTCAGAAGCATTGAATTTTTTGTACAGATGCAGACTGACTGTACAGTGTTAGTGCTATACAGCGTATACAGTCTGATAAATTGCCTGGTGACACTTCAGGAGCAAACTGTGGGTGTTGCTGTTGAAAGAACAATTCATATATCTTGTTCTTGTCTTGCTTTCTCTCCTAAGGCAAACAACGGATAGGCCAGCAGGCCAAAGGAGTTGTTTTGGCAGGAGCAGCCGTCTCTGATTTGTCATCCTTTCTCTGAAGCTTCCTGGCCCTTTACCTTTCACGGGCTGGATGTGCAGTCGCCTTCTGATGGGTACTTCCACGTGGAGGAATCCAGGAAATACAATGCCCTTGTAAGCTGCGTATGACCTGTAAGTTGTAGCTCCAGTGCATTGTGATAAAGTATGTGCGTAAGCAAACGGAGATATTCTGGTGCAACTTTTCCCGATCCTTACCAATTCTAAGCAGGGGAAAGAAGAGTTTTTCACAAGACAACCAGACTGACTACACAGGATGTGAAGAAAAGGTGCAGTGTATCTGCTTGTAGTTTCTGCCTGCCTTCCTTTTTTAGATATGTCTCTTTCTGCAGAAGCGACTGAAGTTACTGTGTACAAATTCTCACACAAGTTCAAATGATAATTTTGAAATAATTTCTGCCAGTCCTGGCAGAAATTTCCCAGACCTGGCTTTGCAGTCAGATGTTTTGTCTGCTGATGCAGTGTCCCTGTTTCTTTTGCAGTGCTTCCTACATATTTTGTAGTCACCTCAGACTGCTGTCCTTTTCATGGAAGGCTCTTTTTCTGTGGGAAACACTGCGCTTGCTTGCTGTAGAGATACATATGCTTGATGGTGGGAGCACCAAGTAAAATAGTTTTCTCAGTTCGGATAATTCATAGTTGCTTTATTTCTTCTGTGGTCCATCTAGTGGTAATTAAAAAAAAAAAAAGATGCATAAATGCTTTTGGAGTTCTTTGTTAACTTCTTTTTTTAATCACAGGTTGTTCACCTTTTGACATGAGCAATGTGAAAACTGTGGTGCTGATGGCCTTACAGACTGCAAGGGCTACCTTTTATGTTTGAACAGTCAAACACAGACTGGTTGGGTTGGCACCACTTAACAACTTCCCCACCTTAATGCATGTGTAGCTGAAGAGATTGTATGTTTATATTTAAGGCATTGCCAATACCTTCAGCAAGAGCAGAGCTGAGCTGTCTGTGGTGTTCCTACTCCAGCAGTGAGAATACTATTAAAAGCCTTGTCTGTAGAAATTCCATGTGGCAGATGTGCCAAAGAAATTAAACTAGGGTCGTCATGAAGTTAGCTTTGTGCCCGCCTTCCTAGACATGTACAAAAGGTTTTCTTCTTTTGCTGCCTCTGTAAGCATTTCTGTCCCATTTTAATTGCTTTTCTTATTAAGGTCCTTAGTGTGAAATAAGCTGCATGCAGACAGGCCTTCTGAGGTGAGCGGTATCCAGAACAAATAGCAAAATCCACTCACAGTGAATTCTCTGCAAAGAGGCATCCTTTGAGACAATTATGTGTATTTCTGTAACTCTCATTCTCACTGCGTACTAGTCATACAAATAACTTTGTAAGATAAGACCACTGGCATGTAATAAACACACAGAAGCTAGATTAATATCATAAGGATATCTAAGGATAGTCATATGACTGTCATGTGGTCTCTTGTACAACTGACCACTTTCTTTCTGAAACGTATACTGTGTAGTACTGAGTCTCTCATACTGGGCTGCTGTCTTAGCTAACAAAATGCGTGGGACTATTTTTAGCAGAAGAAATCTTAGATCATTCATATACACAGTAAGTTTTTCCTTTTTGCAAATGTCTTGTGATAGGTTGTTACATCTTATTGTACATTTATTCTTCATTGCATGGGAACAGAAGGCAGAAATAAAGTTGCACCGGTTGTGTACTAAGCATTTGCAAAGGGAAAGAACTTAGAAATAAATAATGGCACTTTCTTATCTAGGGCAAAATACTATTGGCAGATTTTACTGACGTGTTGTAATATTACAACTGCTAAGTGCAAGCAATTCTAGTGGAAAGTAGTTTTTAACTGTCAGCTTTACTTTGAGCTAGATGTTCCAGGGAATGGGTGCTTGCACCACGTATCTGTGGGTAGAAGCTGGCCTTTATTTTGGGAGCAGAAGCAATGAAGAATCAAGCAGCTTGGATCTATAGAGAATTTTTGCAAGAGTTCCTACAAACCATATTTATTTGTATCACCTTACGACTTAAACAGGTTGAACCTATAGCTTTGGCTAAGAGATGGTTATTTTTAAACAAGTTGTCCCAGCTGAGCAAGGACCAGAAATGAAAACAAACCAGCTCCACTGCTGGAGTTTAATCCTGTAGATTGTGCCAGTGTTTTAACCTCCCGTGGGCTCTCCTGCTAGTTGTCCTAAACTGTCAGTCGTCAGAAGGAAAAATCAGAATGTCTGCCATTTTTAGAGTGGGTGGAGGAAGTGGTTGCAAATAAGAGCACAGGCAGAACTGAGATTGCAAATGATGTAGCCCTACTGCTAACAGCACCAAGCTTTCAAAATAGCACGCAGTTACACCTCTATTTCCCTGTTTCCTGCTTTTTCAGCTGAAAGTTTGGGATTTTTAAGGGGCCGTGACTATTTTTGAGTGTCGGTGTTAGCAAACCCTTACTGCTTGTCTTTCTCCCCTGTGCAGATACTAACCCTTCTATGGCCATATGCACCTAGTACTGACGTGAAGGGGAAGCATCACCTCTTTCACAGTACTGCTTTAACATCTCTTTAACTTAGCTATGACTCTGCTCATTAAGCTGCAAAACCTCACTGTGTGAAATTTATACCTCCATCATCAAACTTGGAAGGGGACACAAACTGGAAGAGGAAAACCCTTGCACTAAATGGTTAAGGTGCATTTGTGCACATGCATTTGTGCGTGCTTTTAGCCTGTTACAGGAGGCTAAGGAGAATGCTATTTAGACAAAAATCGAGATTGTTTCAAACAGTCTGGGACGAGGCAGGATTCTGCATTCTGCGCTCACGTCTGGTCCTTGGCACTGAGCGGGAGGAAGAAGCCAGAAACTGGCTGCAGAACAGGACAGCGGGGAGTTCCTATTATTGCAGGAGACTGTTTGGCTAGTCCGGACATGAGAGATGTAGGCACTGTGCCTTGCCACCTCCTCTGACCTTTTTCTGTTCTGGGGATAAAGCAAGCTTGAAAAGGTCAGCAGTTTTCCCATGCTGAAGTTTCAGTCAACGATTCTCTTCTGGAGTGTGAACTAGGGCTGCTTAAAAGTGGTTCCCTGACACGCTACCTTTTCTTTCACCAAGCAGAGGTAACACGCAGGAGGGAGGGACTGATAAATGAGGTGGCGGTTGAATTTCCACGGATTACCAGCTCTGCTTCCCTGGGAATTGAGGGCAGTTAATGAACCTTGGGAGGTTGCTCAGCAACTCTCAGGATGGTTACCTTCTTTTATGATGAGCTGCAGAATGCATTAGTATGGAGTAAAAGCGTCTTTGGAAGAAATATCTCTTTTCTGTAGAACAGGCTAACGGGAACTCTGGACATGTCAAAGGATTGCTGGGAGCTGAAAAAACCATCCGTCTCACTGTTGGAAGGCTTTTTTTTTTTTTTTTTTTTTTTTTTTTTTTTTGCATTTTTCTTTCTGTACAATTGCAAGCTTAAAGGAACTGGTTTTTTTAGGAGTCAACTGTTTCCTCTGTGTGCTTATCCAATTAAAAAACACTGTTTTTACAGTGAGATTTAGTTTTGATGAGCCCATATGTATACTGCAGAAAATCTTTATGCATTTGAAAGCAGGATTTTGACTGTATATTCCAACTCGGGTGTTAAATGTTTCAGACAAAAATGTTTGTAAAGAGAAAGAGTTTTGCTCTGCATTGTCATTTTCTTTAGAGGTTTCTTAAGTGTCTGCTTCTACTGAGGAAGTGGGGTAGTCCTGCTTAAAATTGGTAGCAGAAGTTTCCTCAATATGTTGATGTGTTCATCCCTGACTATTGTTTTTGCTCTGACATTTCCATCCAAATTCTTCTCCGTTACTTATCATATGCTGCCGGATGTTATGTGATGCAATATGGAATTACAATCAGTTAGGCATTCCAGCAGAAAAAAATAACAGTAAATAATCTTGTCATCTTTATTTTTTATTTCCCTGCTCACTTGTTATAAGTCTCTGTAGAGAATCAGGGGAAAAAAACCCACGTAAGGCCAGAGACAGATTTAGGGAGGTCATGGCTGCCAAAAGTCTGTCCCCTTCATATGGTGATGATGCTGGGAAGTGCCTGTGTTCGGTAGCTCGCGGGAGGGCAGTAGCCTTGTCTTGGCAGCACGCAGCGGAGCAGGCTGTCAGCTGTCCCCAAAACGGCAGCTAGTAGAAGATAAGCTAAAGGGCCTCTGCCCCAGCCCTGCGGGGCTGTGGCTGGCCCCAGGTTTGTGGGTGGGCCTGCCGGGGTCACCCCGCAGCTGTGTCCTGGTGAGTCCCTGGCAGTAGGTTTACCAAAGTCTACCCTCACTGCCAGCATAAGGTCACAAAATGGGTCCTTGCACTGATGCCTTTTTCCACCCAGAAGCTCCAGCTACTCCACAAGGAGCGGGGGGAGGAAAAAGGGAGTGAAAGAATCAACTGGGTAATGTAAGAAACAAAACCCTGCCTCCCAGCTGGGGTTTGGTCTGTTATCAGGCATTGGCAGCACCAAGAAGGGAGCTAGGATGTTGCTCGGATTGGGTGCTGTAGGAGCCCAGGCACTGTGCACGGTGATGAGCATGGGGACAGCGCTTCCTCAGTGACTTGGAAATGGCTAGAAACACCTCACTATCTGCCCAGAGGTTATTTCCCAGAGCTGCCAGCATAAGAGAGCCAGAAACAACAGTTAAGAGGAATTGAATTTGGGCTCACCTTTATGTATCTAGCCTGGCCTAACAAACGCAGTATGCTTTTATTTTAGACATGGCATTTATAATCTAAACACAAGATGCTATATTGTCACCTTCTTGAAATGCAGGTGATTGAGCTGTATATAAATGAACTGGGACGAAGTAACCTTCTATTCGGAGGCCCTGCAGTTTGGCTTGGGATTAAACGCTGGCTGTAGAACCAGAAATACAGGCTTAAATCAGAGTTACATTCCTTTTTTTTCTTTTTCTTTCTTTCTTTTTTTTTTGCATGCCTTACAAATATGATCTGCTTTGTGTTATTTATCAGGTATCTCATCAAGATGTCAGGTGTCTCATCAAAGTGAAGTCTCTCTGCCTGTAAAATATGAATGCAAGGATGATGGCAAACAAGTGCTGGGGAGGAACTGATAGTAAATCTGAATGGTGTGGACTCTGCAGTCAGGGGCAGAT